GGCTGTCCTCGAACTCCAGATCCACCTGCCTCTGCCTCCTTCAGCAAATCCTACCGGCCTGCGCCACCAGAACCGGCAGTAGTGTGTGCTTTCAAAACCCTACTTAGCACTGAGTTACGGTGACATCACCACGCTTCTGAGATTGTGGGAGGAGCGTAAAGCGAAAACCGCTGTCGGCCAGGCTCCACGCAGTGCGCTCTCACCCGCCCGGACTCACACTTACCGCTCCTCCCAGGGAAACCCAACTTCAGGGGCCCCGATGAAGGCTCTTCCCGCCACGCGCCCCCTGCCGGTCACCCCGGGAAACACTCCCGCACCTCCCGCCGCGGAGGCCTTTGAACTCGCTCTTTCCCCTCGTCCCGCGTGGGGATTTTTCTTGGTAAAATAAAGTAAAATGAAGGAACTGCAGAATCAGACTTCTATGTGCTGGTGAGGGTCAGGGTCAAGGACGTGTGCAAAGATCTTAGGGTGCCTCTGACCCGGTGCCCTTTACTAATGGCCTCCTGCGTGTCCTCCCCACCTCCCTTGCATAGCCGAGAACTGGTTGGTTTCTGGCTGGTTCAGCCACCTGCGTGATAGTGTGAGGGTGAACAGGAAACTTCCAAGCTCCTTCGTGCAGAGCCAGAAACCAGGAGTCTTTACTCGCTGCATTTTCATTTTAATCCTCACGATGAGTACCGATATTGTGCAACTTGCACGTGCTTCTTGGCCTACTTTATGCTGCTGGAATGCTCAACCTTGAGGGTCAACGTGCTAAGATTAAGAAATACCTGGGAAATCAGTGGAACACATCTCTCGAATATTTGTCAGGACGTGTCCGGTGAACATTATCAGATCTTGAGGGTTTTAAGGGAACGGAAGGACCAATTTTTGGGAATATTCAACAGGTGATGGCGTTTGGGAGCTGGTTGCAGGTAAGAGATTGTGGCCTGCTGGAGTGTAGTTCACAGAGAGCTTGTCCTAACAGAAGCAACGCATTCTGGGCCGTCTCTGGACACGTCATTCATTTTCTTTCACCGGAGAGTTCTCTCCTTCCTCTATACTGGTAACTCATAAATTTGGGCTTCATGGTGTCCCCAGACACTTGCATATTCCTTTTAAATACAGTGTTTTCTTCGTTTGTTTTAAAGTTATTGTTTTCCAGTTGCTCTACTGTGTCTCCGGATCCTGACATTCTTCTTTACTTGACCTACTTCTCCTAGGAAGGCTTTCCATTGAGTTTTCTCAATGTGAGGCAGACTCCCTTGAGGCCCAGGGAATGCAACCATAGGGCCAAGCAATGCCCTTCATGTGCAGAAACCTTGATACATCGCCCAGCAATCCCATCTTTGCTTGGTAAGTCGTCCAGGGGCCCTTGAAAGAAGGACAAAGAGACCATCATTCTGTTTATTCTCCACCAAAGTGCTGGCCTCGAAATACTCCCCAAGCCATCCTCCCTTCCTGACATAAAAGCCATTCAAGACCACCCTGTGCGTTTAAAGAAGCCATTGAGCTATGCTACCACACAGAATCTCTGTCTGGCCAGGTTCTGGTCTGGTTCTCTCCATGAATGCTCATACATATAAAAGCTGTTTGCCCGAAGGTGTCCGGTGTCCTGTACTCGGGTGTCCTTAGCAGATGGGATATTGAGTTTTTCAATTCTATTCTCCATTTCAGCAGGCGTTTCCTTCAGTATTTATGGCTCTTGACGGAGTGCACCCTTCCAGTGCGGTTTTGCTCAGTACTCTGTTCAGCCTTGTGTTTCTCTTCTCTTGGACTTCAGTTGGGACTTAATTCCTGTACTCCTTAGGTGCATTTGAGAGGTGAGACCGCCTCAAACCCCGACACTTCCTTGCTTCTCTTTATAATTATTCTTTTAAATCCTAAATCCTGCGACTTGTCTCATCAGTGAACATTCTACAGGACTGGAACGTACTTGTCTTAGTTAGCCTTCTATTGCTAACTAAAGACCAATGACCAAAGGCAGCCTGTGGAGGAATCGGTTCATCAGCCTCGCTGTCCCAGTCTGTCGTGAAGAAAAGGTCAGGCCTGAATACCTCCAGGCAGGAACATGGAGAGAGGGGCGGTGGAGGGGTGATGCTGGCTGGCTTGCTCCTCATTGCTTCCTCCGTTTGCTTTTTCATACAATCCAGGACGCTGTGCTGGGCACTCCTATACCAATCATTACCAAAGAAAATGTCACAGACACTTACTGCCAGGCCAATCTTACAGAGGTTTTTCTCAGTTCCTATTCCCAGAAGACTCTTAACTTCACTCAAAGGGACAAAAACTAACCAGCCCACGGTATGTCCAAGTGGGGTTACTGTTGTACTTTCTTCTTTCCCCTGTGCCTTTTTGGACAGGTTGGTTGGTGCAGCTGACACCATGGGGACCCATTACATGTCTGGGGAAGGCAGAGATCCCCAAGGGCCCCAAGAATAGTGAGGGGCAGCACTGGACTCTTTGGAAGATGAAAGACGGTGAGAGCACACGTGTCCTGATGACTTGAGGGGTGTTCACATGGGTTACCGACAGTTGTCAAAGGAGAGGGGTAGGAGGAGAAGGACCGGGGTGGGGAGAGGCTGTGGGGTCACCAGCCAGAGCTGGAGGAAGAGCGTGCACGTGGTTCAGTGAAGATGAAGAGAGGCCACGGTGCTAAGTGACTGGGGCAGAGGAGAGGACAAATCTGTGTATCCTCTGCGTTGTGGGGCAGACTGTGGGAATGCGGACCTGACCCCAAACAGCGAGCGCTGGCGTGGATGTCAGGAAGCAGAGCCTTGCTCTTGCAGAACGAGGGGAAACTGAACCCAAGGGTCGGTGCAGTGTTGAGCAGGAGGATTGTAGGGAAGGGAGGAGAGCGGGGTGCAGGCATTGGCAAGCACTGAGGTCGAGCGTGTGAGTCGGTGCGTGGGCCAAGCCCGTGAGCAGGGGGAGGCGGAGTGGAGCGGGCGCCTGGGCTTCTGGAGGAGCTGGTGTGGGTTGTGTGTCAGCAGCCAAGAGAAATCAGGGTGAGAGGAGGGTGCAGGGATGCTTTATGGGTGTAGGTATTTTAGTGTATCGTGTAGCTGTGCGTTTTCTCATGGAGGGCAATAAAAAGTGTATCAATGCGATGTTAGAGGCAGTGCGTGGCAGTGGATTAGTTTTCATGTTGAGGTTTGAAAAGAGAGAGGTCATCCCAGGAAAGAGGGCATCCCCCTAGAAGGAGGCGTTGGAAAAAAAAGGAAAAAAAATGTGTAGACCAGGCTGTCCTCGAACTCCAGATCCACCTGCCTCTGCCTCCTTCAGCAAATCCTACCGGCCTGCGCCACCAGAACCGGCGATTATGGGCGCTTTCAAAACACTACTTAGCACTGAGTTACGGTGACATCACCACGCTTCTGAGACTGTGGGAGGAGCGTAAAGCGAAAACCTCTGTCAGCCAGGCTCCTTGCAGGCTCCTTGTCGGAGCCAGTGGAGCAGCCCCGAGTCCGTTCCTGAGTGTGTGAGTCGGTGCGTGGGCAAAGGCCGTGAGCGGCGGTGTGGAGCGGGCGTATGGGCGTGTGGAGGATGTGGTGAGGGTTGTGTCAGCAGCCCAGCGAAATCAGGGTGAGAGAAGGATGCGGGGAGGCTTTGTGCGTATAGGTATTTTAGTGTATCGTGTAGCTGTGCATATTTTCTTGGAGGGCAAATAAAAAGTGTATTAATGGGATGTTTGAGTTGGTGCGTGGCTGTGGATTAGTTTTCATGTGTATATTTGAAAAAACTAGAGGGCATCCCAGGAATAATTGGGTTGAAAAAAATGTGTAGACCAGGCTGTCCTCGAACTCCAGATCCACCTGCCTCTGCCTCCTTCAGCAAATCCTACCGGCCTGCGCCACCAGAACCGGCGAGTGGTTGTGTTCTCACGTTCCTAGTTGAGCTTAATTTCTGATGACGTTCCTGCCCCCACCCCCGGAGCAGGGTGTATCCTTAGCTGTAGGTTTAGCCTCACCCTCCTGCAATCTAAACCTGAGCACTATGCAGGCGTGGCCTTCTGCAGCCTGTAAAGATTGGTGGCACCAGCGAGAGCAGGGGCCCCGTCATATCAACTGTTCATCAGGCTAGCGTTCACTCCAGTTTTAGGGGGGGCGTTTCCTTAATTGAGTTCCGCTCTTCCCCGATGAGCCTGGCTTGTGTCAGGTTGGCAAAATATTAACTAACACACCGGGTAAAGATTTCTCCTCTCATTTTGTCTTTTCACAGAAAGAATTCAGTTAAGACACAGTTTGAGCTCAAGTTTATTTAGCAAAGCAAAGGCGCTGTAAGCATTAACAAACTCCAGATTGCATTGGCGCAGGAAGGACTGACAGTGGGTGGCAGCCCGCTGGGCTCTGCATGATATGCTTTTTAAAAGTTTCTTACGACCCTCTCTCGCTTGTGTCAATGCGAAGTTCTTCCCTTTGGGAGCCAGCTTCATTTATTGTACTTTGCTGAAATTGTTCCAGGGCCAACATGTCCCCACAGTTTTTCCTTCCCTGCTCATTGGTGGCATGTGTGGTCATTGGGAAAGTCCCCTGGTGCCTTAATTTCTTATATGGCAGGAGGAGCCCAAACGCAGCTTGAAGGGTGTCTAATTACAAAGGATCACTGTAGCATCGGGAGGAAAAGCGACCGGGTCACGGATATAGTCCCCTTGATTGCTTCCCTGGTCAGGAAGGAACTAGAAAAAGGTGGGAGTGCACGACCCCGCCTCCCTCCTGCTCCCACCCGCTTGGCTGCACGCTGGGAACACTTGCAGACTTCGCTGTTGTTAACGACTTACAGTGTTGATTCTCTCTGAAAGGGTTTCCTCAGTAACTGTTCTCCAAGAACTTTCACAAAATGAATTGCTCTTTGAGTGTCCGTACACTGAAAATTATTACCATCAAGTATTAAAACCCTTCGTTCCTGGAAAATAGGAATTGAGAATTTATTTGAATCATTATGATATGTGCTTCCATTTAAATAATTCAACTTGAAATTGAGTGATAAGAGTATATAGATGTCTACCATTTTTTTAAAAGATTTATTTGTTTTGTATACAGTGTTCTGGCTACAGGTAAGCCTGCAGGCCAGAAGGGGGCGGAGAGATGAGGGCTCTGCAGGCCCAGAGACCAGTCAAGGTCACACAGACTACAGAAAAGAATCCAGTGCTCCTCAGCTGTCTGGATTTCTTTCCACAAGGTCTGCCCAGGCTTCTTTCTACAGAGCACCTCTCTGAGACGGGCACATCAGCGTCTCTGTCCCCTTTACAGAATAAAGAAACTAGACACGGGCATCTGCGAGAGCCACAGTGGCTTTAGAATCCATCCTTTGTGCCACTAACTGTGCACTGAGGGCGGGGGTGGACAACGGCCCAGGCAGATTGAGTGCAGAGATCTGGTGTGGACGGTGGAGTAATGAAGATGGGATTTGCAGTCAGGCATCATTGCACACGGTCTCAGAGATGAGTTTTGGTTCCTTTTGGCAGACCCAGTTGTTATCTGAAGCACAGTCCTCAGAAATCACTCTGCCCTTTGTGATGGCGGCACAGCTGTCTGTTTTAGCTTCGCCAGTGATTTGTAAGCTGAGAAGAAGAGAACAGCCACTCTCAGTGTTTAGGATTTTATCGTGATTATCATCTTAAGTTGGCCATCCTTTCCTCTGGACTTCTAAGGACTGTAGAATGCATAGTTAATTATTGATCATAGTAAACACAGAGTAACAAGATGCATCAACGTTAAAGATAACTGTTTATTTGAACAAATCACCAGTATAACTTTCAATTTTACTTTCAGCTGGAGAATCATATGCTATAAAAAGGGAGAAGATTTAGAAACAGAATTGTATCTCATTCTGCTGCTAACATCTCATGCAAGGAAAGAAGCTGCCGCCTCTCATCGCTGAGTTCAGTTTCTTAAGTACACAGGAACAGCTATGTCTCTCTTTCTCTCTGTCTCTCTCTGCCTCTCTCTCTGTCTCTCTGCCTCTCTCTCGCTGCCTCTCTCTCTCTCTCTCTCTCTCTCTCTCTCTCTCTCTCACACACACACACACACACACACACACACACACACACACACACACACGGGCTCTCAGGGACCATCAGGAAGAGGGGGCAGAAGGAATGTAAGAGTCAGAGGACAGGGACCAATGCCCCTCCGTGGCTTCTGCTTCCTGCTTCTCAGTTCCTGCCCTGTCTTTAGTGCCTGTCTTTACTCCTTCAGAAAGGAACAGTAAAGAAAATAAACTCTTTCCTCCTCAACTTGCTTTTGGTCACAACAATAGTAACTCTAAGTAAGACACGCAGAAATCATAGGAAAAATCAGGATATATTTTAGGAAACAATGTGTATATTTTGGTTTTCATGTATATAGTAAAACAGAGCATTTGTTTTTAAATAATGCCCACTTTAAAGTCTCATTCTTTGCAAAAAAAAATAATAAAAAATATATACTGCCAACATTTGCTGTCTAGGTTAACTTTTATTTAACAGTCTCTACACTTAATACATTATCATTATGCTTTACATAAGCCTACATATGTTTCAGTATTTTAAATTTCAACCATTTTATTCTAAATTATTAAAAGGAATGTTTTAAGTAGTGATTGGTACAATTTGCATGAATTTTCTCAAGATTCCTGTCTAGGCTAAGGTTACCATTGCTGTGATGGAGCGGCATGACCGAAAAGCATCTTGGGAAGGAAGGGTTTGTTTCACTAATAGATCACTGAGGGAAGTCAGAGCAGGGACTCAGACAGGGCAGGAAGGTGGAGGCAGGAGCTGATGCAGAGGCCATGGAGGGGTGCTGCTTACTGGCTTGCTCCTCAAGAGTTGGTCAGTCTATTTTCTTATAGAACCCAGGACCACCCACAAGGGCTGGGTCCTCCTCCATACATCACTAATTAGGAAAATGCCCCCACTGGCTTGCCAGCCTACAGCCCTATCTTATGCAGGCATTTCCCAGTGGAGGTTCCCTTTTTTCTGATGACTGTAGCTTGTGTCAAACTGACATAAAATTCACCAGCACAGCTAGTAAAACATGATTCTCAATATCGTTTCTGAAAAAAAAAATTAAATCTCTGTACAGACATTTGATTGCTGTTGGGATATGGTCCAGAAGTGGACTTCTGTGAGGGTAATCTGGGTGCCGTGAGAACTTTCCAAGAAAACAGGATTGGAATCTTGTGACTCAGTTTCTTCAAGACATGGAAATGTTCATGGAATGTGTTTCCTTGCTCCTCCAGGCACTTAGGAAAGGAGTGGGTGTACTTCAGATTACTTATTAGTATATATTATTGGTAACTGATAATGTTAAAACTGCTCTGTGTGTGCTTCTCTGGGGGAAAAAAGCACATTTGTCATGCTCAGCTTGCCATTGTTATTGTATACAGCTAAAACGTATGAACTTTACCCACATGAACTTTCTCAATGGTCTGCTGCTCTCTATAAGGCTGACTATTGCATGAGACTTCAGTCTGCCTCATTTATGGGCTTAATCTCTCAGGTCCCACGGCATCTTAAGTGCAAATGACTGATTTGTGATCTACACACACGGTTAGGGCTTAGATACCAAGTATACCCTAACAGGTCACATATTGAAACCATCTGGGGTGCTCCAGAGGAGTGAGTGGATCACTGTTGTGGAATAGAATAATTGTTTAATTATGTAAAGATGTGTTACAGAATAATTGTTTAACCATGTAAAGGTGTGTTGTTTTTTAACCTTGCACCTGATTGGTCTAATAAAAAGCTGAATGACCAATAGCTAGGCAGAGGAGGGATAGGCAGGGTTGGAAGGCAGAGAGAAAAGGGGAGCCAGGAACCAGCCAGATAGACAGAGAGGAAGCAGGAAATCAGTATAGATAGTATTAGATGAAGTAAACAAGCCTCAGAAAAGCACATAGATTAATAGAAAGGGGTTAAGTTAAAAAACGAACAAACAAAAAATAAAAAAGCTAGCCAGAAACAAGTTTAAAGTTAAGTCTGAGCATTCATAGTCAATAAGTCTCCATGTTGTGATTTGGGGGCTGGTGGTTCAAGAAAGTCTGCTACAGGGCATGAATCCTGTCAGTGGATTAAGTTACTGATGAAGTGAGCGTCATTGGAAGGGGTAGGCCTTTGAAAGGCCCATCTGCCCCTGTGTCTCCTTTGTTCTCTGCTCCTGTCCACTCTGAGTTGAGCAGCTTAGCTTGTCTCTGCCCTTCTACTGTGTTTCTGCATTGTTGTGAAAGGCATGCAGTGAAGTAGCAGACTACGGGCTGAGACTCCTTAAATTAAAAAAAAAATATATATATATATCCAATCACCTTTTCGTTCTTGTTTATCTCACGTAGTTTTATCACAGTGACAAAAGCCGATTGATATGTAATTGTATCACATCCGCTCAAACAATTCCTACTATGTTCATAGTTTCTCTCAGGTGTCAGAGTTCCACACTGATATTTATTCCATTTTTTTTCTTTCATTATCTATACCATTTGGGACCTGACGAATTTATTTGAAGACACCCTATATTATAATTTCACCACAATTAGAAATGTGCTGCTTAAGACATTCCATGTAAAGTATAGGAAAGTATAAAAAGGTAAAAGAAAGAAAGAGCAATTATGTGTGCTGAAAGGGTCTAAGTAGCCATTTCCCAAAGGAGTTGGTCTACTTCCTGGCCTTAAAACTCCATTCCAGATATACATACTTATTTGCATGTATGTATATATACTCGTGACCTTATAAAAAGGCTGCTATCTTTTCATATATGAAACTTTTCTGCCACCCTTGGAATCACATATGCAGACTGTTCTGAACCTCTTTAATCTTTGCTATCAGTTAGACTCCTGAGATGACCTGAGATGGATATTCAAGTTAGCTCCTCCAATACTCACACATCAGAACTTAGAGTAGAGCCGTTTATCCACTTCCAATTCTTGTCTGACAATTTGTAACTTAGTCCAATCCAAAATGTACTGTCTTTTTCATTTGTCAAGTCCTTTAGCAATCTCTACAACCAAAGCAGAGGAGAGGACTGAACCCCGAGCCTGTGTGCTGTGACTCACATTCCACCAGCCTCCTGCAAGCTAGCTCATGTGTCCCCTGTATCCACCTGAGTCCCCAGCACAGTTCACCCTTCCTCCTTTCAGGAATCTGAGCCCATGTTTATGACCCCAGGACACTCCCTGACATGTGCAGTTATTGGATCCCGTGTCCCATTAGCTCTCAGACTATGGGCTCCCACAATGTAATCTCTCCACTGCCTGTGCATGGGAGATGTGCTCAGTCTAGAGATGTCGGTGTGGCTTCAAGAGCTACATCTCCATTTTAAAGAACAACTTACCAGTTCTTCTTGGCCTCGAATGAGCAGTAAAGTGGCCCCTTTTGTAGAGCAGTCAGCTAAACCTTCCTTCCACATGTTGTTCCCTTGAGAAAAATGTATGCATTTATCTCGGTGTAGAAGCCAGCCTTTTGTGCAGTTTAACTTAGCTGGGCTCTCTGAAATGGAAAGAGACATGGTGTGTTTCTACCCTGTTCTTGCTGCACCACAGCCAGTTACACACAGTAGTTGCTTTACTAACACATGCCTTTACTAACATGTGCCAGGACAAGATTACTGCTATGACATACCAAAGAAATATAAATAACACAGAATTTATTTTATTTTTGTTTCTATTAATTAACCTCAGGCAAAGTTATATGTATGACATGTTTATTAAGACAATCAAATATTCCTTGTGGTACTTTGAATAAGAATGGTCCTCATAGGCTCATATATTTGCATGCTTAGTCATCAGGGTGTGGTACTACTTTAGGAGGTGTGGCCTTGTTGGAGGAAGTATGTCATGGGTTTGAGGTTTCAGAAGCCCAAAGCAGGCCCATTGTTCTTATCCTTCTGCGTACAGGTCCAGATACAGAACTCCCAGCTACTTATCCAGCACCTTGTCTGCTTGTGTGCAGCCATGCTCCGCATCATGATGACAATGGACCGAACCTCTGAAACTATAATCAGGCCCCAGTTAAATGCTTTCCTTTATAGGCGCTACAGTGGTCATGGTGTCTGTGCACAGCAATAGAATACTGACCCTCAAGCATAATACTTTTCCTGTGCTTGTAAGAGTGTGTGTGGTTTATGTACATGTGTGTGCAAGTACATGTGCCTATGTACATGCAGAGACCAGGGAAGGATGTAAGATCTCTGCCCCTGTCCCTCTCCCCCTACCCTTTAGATGCAGGGTCTCTCATTGAACACGAAGCTAATGCTTTTTTCTGCAAAGCTGAGAGCCAGCAGGTCTGAGTGACCATCCTGGGATGTTTATCACGTGGATGCTGGATTTGCAATCCCAGTCTTCACACTGGCATCGAAGCACCCTTCACCACTGAGCTGTCTCTTCAGCCCTGCATTTCACTTTTTAACTCACTATAGTAACCAATTGTGCTAGCAGGCTGAGGCAGCATGGTCACACGACCAAGGATGCTAGATTTCAAGTGAAGTTTCCAGCAACATCACTTACTAGTCACATGACTTTCAACACATCCTTAACCTTTTCTCAATCATTAACCCACAGTGATGTGAGCCTTGACTAAAGGTAATGCGATATTGATCAAAATCAGGGTACCAAAATTACCTGTTGGTTTCGTCCTGTTGTTCTCTCGGTTATCCCCGACGCTTCCTCCTACGCTTCCTCCCATGCTTCCTCCTACACTTCCTCCTACTGGTGTTTTCTGCAGCAAGGATAGCACTAGTAATAAACACAGGGAGAAGGTGAAATGTTCATCGTACAAACAATAGAATGGATATTGTATCTATCACTTCAGGGAATGAAGTCATCTCAACAGGCTTGCGTATGGGCAGGAGACAATGTATTAGCAACATGTCAACAAGGGACTGCTTTGAGACAGACCGAATAGAGAGCAAGTGAAACAGGGAAGAAGTGGCTTCACGCTGCTGGTAGGCTATGGTAGGCTACACCGTATCTAGGGGCCTTGCTGAGGTCCTTGCACCGCTCACACCCTGAACTTCTCCCCTGGGGAGTAAGTGCGCTCACACCCACAGCAAAGAAGGTTGCTGGCTGCCTTCTGGAGTTGAGCAGACACCTAATAAATGTATATTTAGGCACTGTGGTTCTCGTTGTTATTGTCGTCTTGTCATATCTGTGGCCTTTTATAGCGTTCTGGGTGCACATGTGTCAACCCACAGTGATCCTCAAAAGAAGTAAGAAGAGAAACGTGACAGGGGATATAGTCCTGCAACTGCTCCTCATTGACCTTTCCCCAGGTCCAAGGCGGCCAGGTATTGTGAAGAAAGTGAAATAGTCACGGTGCAGCCAGAGAAAGATTTTTGTTTTGTTGTGTTTATAAAAGCAGGGTTTCTCTGTGTAGCCGTAGCTGTCCTGGAACTCTCTGTAGACCAGGCTGGCCTTGAACTCACAGAGATTCGCCTGCTTCTGCCTCCCGAGCACTGGGATTAAAGCTGTGTGTCACCACTGCCAGGCTAGAGGAAGAATTCTAAGGGGAAAGTTTTTGTCTCACTTACCTAACACACCGAGCCCGATCACACCCAGGACAAGAAGGATCAGCCCAACACAACCGAGTTTCAGAGCCAACCGATGCCAGCGTGGGCACCGACAGGTGTCTGAGAAGTCAATGAAAACAGACACACTTTTAATCCAGTTGAGCACCTTTGGAATGAGTCAGAGGTGGTTTGATTAACATGGACAGTTGGCTTCAGGTTGGGAGTGGGGTGCAGAAAAGAGTCTTTCTCTGCCACCATCCTATAGAATTCCACAAGGATGACTTGTACATGTTTGGTGGGAAAGAGGGTATTAGGAGAGTCGGACCTGATTGATGGGGAAGATGTGAAAATGGCTGAGTGAGTGCTGTACAAAAATAAACTATGAATTCTGTTATGGGAATAGCATTTCCTCCAAGAAGGTTCTTAGTTTACAGAATGTGCACACACACACACACACACACACACACACACATGCTCGAGCTCAGTTTTGTGCTGAGTGCTTCCTTTGGGGCAGGTGGTGCATAGCAATCCTATTATTTACCATGGGGTCACATTCACTGTTGTCTAGAGTGATTTTCTCCAACTTGGAGCAAAGTTTAGGCATCTATGTTGTTTTGTTTGTTTGTTCTGGACAGGGTTTCAATATGTAACCCGGGCTGGTCTGGAACTCTAAGCAGACCCCCGTGGCCTCAGTCACCACTGTATTGTTTCTGGTATTTTAACTACATTAGTCTCCTGTTACCCTCACAGGCTGAGTTCTCAAACTCTTAATGGAGAGCTAAACTGCAGTTAGAAGCAATCTCTATGGACATTGTTTCACACACACACACCGAGTTTTCTGTCTTAACTGAGCACAAGCATACTGTGGCTGTAACTTTCACAGCTTGGTATATACTAGCAAAATCTGGGGTTTTTTTTCCTTTCCTTAAATGGAGTGTTTTCACTTTTTCATGTAGAGGAAGCATGTGTGGCTTCTCTTTGGCATGGCAAGGTTGCGGGCATTCACAGAGTTCACAATTTGAGGTCACTGTTCTGTAAAATGAGAATTATTTGAGCACAAACCTGGGTGACTGGCAGGTTTGTATTAGTCAGGGTTCTCTAAAGTCACAGAATTTATGGAATGAGTCTCCCCCTATATATATGTAAAAAATAAAAAAAACTTACAACAGTGGTTAGTTATGAATGGAAAATTCAAGAATCTAGTAGCTGCTCAGCCAGTCCCACAAGGCTGGGTGTCTCAGCTGGTCTGCTGGGGTCTCAAGGAAGGGATGGATGTGCTCGCTGATGGAGGTGAAGGCTAGCAGGGCAATCAGGGGAAGAACACACTTCCTTCTTCCATTTTCCTTATACAGGGTTCCAACAGAAGGTGTGGCCCAGGTTAAAGGCGTGCCTTCCAGCCTCCAGGTCTGGATTAAAGGCGTTCCCATCCAGCCTTGAAGGCCTGTTGTTTTTCTGCCTCAGGATCTGGATCACAAATAATGCCCTCCATTTCTAGATTATAGTTTATTCCAGATATAGTCAAGTTGACAATCAAGTATAGCTATCACAGAGTGGTAAGGAATGACTCACACGTTGACCAAGATGGTGTGAGATCTCATTGTGCTGCTCAGAATAATGTCCAGCTTAACACAGAGATAACACAGGAAATTCCCTGGAATGTCCTATTTAGTATTTTTATTAACGTTTATCAGTGTGTTGACTGCAAGTTATGAAGGTGCAGGAATTGAAATGGCAGATAAAGATGTAACACATACATACATCTACAACACTACAACAGCAGGTCCTGTATCTTTGCTTTTCTTGATGTCCATGTCAATTACCATACAATAAAAATCTTATGTATACAAGGAGTTCAGATATATCAAGTTATGGAATGTGTTCATAAAGTATCATGATTTGGACAATTTATTTTGACTTTAGACAACTTTAAAAGCATGGGTGTCATATGGAATATAATAAAATATTTTGTTTTATTTATGAAAATACTATGGAGAAACATTAGCCAGCTCCGACCACTCTAATTTAATTATAATATCCCATTGTGTTTATTTGGTCTCTAGCATTTGCTTTTATAGTGGTTTTATACATTCTAAGAAACCTTTCCTAGTTGCCTTTTTGCTGTACTTTGTTCTCTTTTTGAGACAGGGTCTCCTGTCATCCAGGTTGGCCTCAAACTCTCTATGTGGTTGAGAATGGTCTTGAACCCCTGATCTTCCTGCCTCCACCTCCCAGGTTCTGGTTGGTATCATAGGTATGAACCACATACCTGGCTAAGGTTTTCTTATTTCTGCAAAGTACCTTTTGATTTATGATTTATAAATATTTCCTGTTGGCTTTATATTTTTAAGTATTTCTTAATGTAAGTGAATACATGTTTTGAGTTACATGTTAAATGTTTAAAGTCAGATTCGCTATTATTATGTTGTCTTATTGTCTGTATATCCAGTTCTACTTTTTCTATATACATTTATTCTGTACTACCTCTGGCAACTGAATTGTTTAACCCAGACTGAAGACAATGACCAACTGTCTCTAGTCTCTAGACCAGCACTGAGACATGCTAGCCACTTAGAAGAGTTAATTGCTTTTTTAAAAATGTTCCTCTGAAGAAAGAATAAAAGGAAGGGATGGGAGGAGAGAAGAACAAACATGTTCCAGGAGAGACAAAGGCACTCAGTCTAACTTATGCCTGGTGTAGTAACTACAGACTGAAGATAGTCACATACCAAAAGCTGCATTTGTGTGGAACGCACATTCTTCCTATCTTTATTCCCTGAACAAATACTCAACGGCAGCTATTCTGGTGGCTTTGAAATCATCCTAGGTGCTGTGCATAACCTACAGATTATCTGAGGCGTATAACAATATGCAAGCAGGTTACTTATAAGAACTACATTATATGTATGAGACCCACATGCGTGGAAACGTCCGGAAGCACCCTTCTGTGGAGAGTGGAACAGTGTTGTGTGGAAAGAAGTGACACAAGATTGTCACGGAAGGAAGCAGTCAGTGTGACAGCTTTGAGGATGTGGCCAGTGGATCACCACTGCTGCTGTGTAGGTCATGAGTGTCCTGGACAGGAGGCAGGAATGCGTACCAGATGAGACTCCAAAGCCCCAAGGCCTGTAATATTTTCATAATTCATGGATTTTCTTATCTGCAAAATGTAGACAATATCTACTTCATACTGTTGTAGAGAGGGCTGTAGCAACAATTATTCTAAATTCCCTAGAATAGCATTTGGCCTGTGGTAACTGCCAATAAATGTAATTTTCTTCCTTTTTTCCTTCCATCCTTTTTCTAAAAAGCGAGCTTTTTCTTTGTTTTTGTTTTGTTTTAATTATGGATAAAAAAAATCCTTTTACGTGACTTAAAAAATTTTTCACTCATTATGACAAAATTCAAAGGACTCCTGTCCTCAAGTTGGGTTTCCTGGGTCCCTGTACTATCTATTCTACTAGTGGAGTCACATACGAAGAGGCTTGTTATGGTGGAAGTACCTGCTTTGGGTTCCACAGAATACTAAGTCATCTCTGCTGTTCCATACTTTTCAGTAGCTTCTCCCTCAACATCTGCACCTATAGAATGTCTTCCAAATCCCTTTCCATCTGCCACCACTCCTCCTGACTTGATCTCTACACCACACCAGGCATGCGTGCTCCCCTGCAACATCACAAGCATTTTCTCCCTTTGCATTTGCTGGCCCAGCTTCCTAGAAGACTCATCTCTCAGATCAGTCTCTCAGATACTCAGTCTTGGTCTCCGAGACTTCCAGGACTTGACTCTAGCATCCTCTCACAGGAAGGCCTGACTAGATCAATCTACTTTACATGATGCCATCTTTGAAGGCCAAAATCTTAATTTCCATTTAAATCTTTCCTTGTTGGCGTTCTACATCACACAGTCTCTGACACTTGTTATATCAGCGACTTAAAACTTCATAGCAATATAAAACCTACAGAGAGAAAAATGTTTCTTCATGCCTGTCTTCCCAGTGAATAGAGAAACGTATGCCTCATGGTAATTAGTTACTTCTGAGAGAATGAATAAACTCCGGAGGCATTTTTACATATCTTATCCATTGTACCATCAAAACAGACCTTTGGCCATTTGATCACAAACAAAACAGGTCACTGCCCACATCCCCCTTTCCGGTCCGCTTTGCTGGCAGATCTAATCATGCTGCTTTGAATTTGCCATGGTTTGAGCCCTTTAGCTAGCGGTTCCCAGTGGTTTCACAGTTATCAAGCTTCTGTATCAGCATTTTCTATTCGAATTCTATGTTCTGTTTTAATTCTACTATTATTTGTTTCTTTCTTCATGTTTATTCCCAGATTATTTTAAATAGTGATTTTTTTCTACTCTCTCTCTTTTTTTTGACATTATAGACACTTTTTCCTAGTCTTTTTGACTTGGGATCATAGACAGTACAGTTTGAGGAGAACTTCATTATCTTTCTTTATATTTATTTTCTTATCCCCTTTTCAACAAGGCCCTTTCTCCACTTTTGCTAGGCATGATGGCAAAACAAAGACTTGCTTTTTCCCAACAACAACAACAACAACAACAAAAAAAAAGGAAAACATTTATAATAATAACTGGCACCATCAATTTCCCCTGAAGTTATCAAGCCAGTTCTTCCCCTCCACTTTCCACTCACCCTTATGTAAACATTATAATGAAAATTATTTGGTGACTCTGAGACTCTCTTCTTGACTCAAACCTTTGACAATGTAGCAGTTTCTAACAAGAAGCCCTGAAGGTCAGAGTCTACATGCCACAACACACAGAGGATATCGAATTGAAACACAGCTGCTTTAAGATGGGTGTTGGTAGGTTTAGTTAGATAGCAGGACAGAATACTGTATCATAATCATTTTATAGACTTTCTGCCTGAGCTCCTGGTCTCTTAGATTAGGCCATTCCCCCCCCCCCCATGTGCTTCGACTTACCAGCCTTCCCCATTTATTTTGCTTATATTACTAAACCCTCTAGTAGACAAGAGTGCTACTTTCAGCCAGTGCTGAAAGGTTAATTCCTGACTGGCTTTGATTCTTTGTGTGGTACATCCATTTAAAGTTGTTATACTTTGCAAGAAAGAAAGAACTAGCTTTTTAAAAAATGAAAATAAACTTACACACACACACACACACACACACACACACACGATATATATATATATATTCTAATTTAATTCAAGTCTTTGACTTCGACTGTGACTTCCCCCCCAAAGATTACCCTCCTTTTTGGGAAATGAAGACATTAACCGTGAAGTCTACCCTCTGCACTGCGAAGGGAGAGCTGGCGTTGCTGCTGAAGTACAGCTGGGTCATAGTGTCCAGATTCTGTAGATGAATTTGGACCTGGAAATTGATTACATCAGTTGTCTCTTAAAACACGCCTTTGCTCATATAAGCAAAGTATTCTTTCTTCAGGATTTTTAATGAAGGCTGAGTAGGGGAAGTGAGGTGTAGGCTTCCCGTTATTTACTTGAATAAAAAATGGAATGTATGACCTTTCCAGAATTGTGGTTTTCTGCAGGCTGCCTACACTATTTAACACTAATGCAGACAGACCTACTTCTCACCTTCAAAGCAAACACTTAAACTCTTACGTTTCAGAGGGAAATCTTAACTCTGGAAGGTAACTTGAAAGCCGGAGAAGTAAAGCTGCTTACCTTGGGGAAGAGTTGGAGATGATGCACTCTTAGGCTCCCAGGTCCTGGCTAGGTTTAAGTCAGCATAGACCACTGATGCGTCCATTGTAGATGGAGGGGCTTGACACTGAACTTGTGGACAGGGACAAACTCCAAGTTCTGTGAGGTGAAGTAAGCGAAAAAGGAAGTCTGCTGTGAGCACTCTGCTGTGTCCACACCCACCCACGCTGGTAGCTAAGGGTTTCTCCATAGTTACTGACCTTGGTGTCTGTCCTGCAAACACAGCTTATGTTTCATTTATTTATTTTTAAAAAAAGAATATGCAACACAGAGGACATGGAGTTTGGTTTTTAGGCAAATTTCTGGGGAAATTTTCCTTGTTCTTATTCCTCTAACCATCTGTTACATGCCATCCTTTTCGGGGCTCCAATGAAATACTCATCTTGAATTCAAATTTACCTCATCACCGAACTCCCCGGGATTAAGATGCATAGCATATTATGTTATGTTTTGAAATTGAGGACTAGGACATAAAAGTCCATGGTGCTATTTGACACCAGTTGAAACTCTAAAATCCTCCTGAAATATCCATGCTGTAAAAGGAGCCATGAAATGTGGAAATTCAGACACAAATGTGGTTAAAAAAAACAAAACAACAACAACAACAACAACAACAAAAAAAAATCATGACTGACACAATCGGAAGAGCAGGGATGAGGAGCAGCGTGTGCTACTCAGGGTAGCCCCGAGTTGAAGACTTCATCCATCAGAGCTACTGAGAGTGAGGACTTAGGTCTACGGGACGGGCTAACTCCACCAAGGGTTTCCAGACCCAGTCTTAGGGCAGGACTACACATGCCAGCAAGTCAGACCTTCTCATATCACAAGTGAAAAAGAAGAAGAAAAAGCAAGGCTTCCTTAAAGGCACTTTCTGTGGTCAGAGTGGAGCCGAGCCGTACGTACTAGATACTCAGTTACCGCTACAGTGGCCGCAGTCTGCGGGCTGTGCGTTCAGGTAGATAGGAGATTCATACTCACGATCTGGAGACACACCCGTATTCCTCAAGACCGCTGATGATTACAGCGTGAGGGGAAGCCTGTGCGAGGGTCTCACAGCACACATCGTGACTCAGTGGAACTCCATCAGCTGTCACTGTTTGATGACAGTCATTCCACTCAGTGCCGGGGACACAGGGTTCTTCTTCCTCGTGCTTCCCTGAACCCTACGAATAGTAAGTGTACAAGATTTTCCAGAGTTTTCCATCTTGAGTGATTCTATATATTTCTTTTGCCCAGATTTCCATATCCCCTGGCAGACAAGAGTGCTGATTTCAACCAGGGTTGAACCTTTAGTATAGACAAATTTCAAATGCATCAGGTCCTCAGGCTTTAGTTCATATAAGTATCATCTAGAAGTTTATCAGTAATTCAGTTTTCCATCCCAGAACTTCCATTGATAGTACTAGCCTCGAGTGGTAAATGTGTGAAGAACACTCTAAGTATTCGAGGTGGGTCATGGGCTGTGCTTATGCAATCAACCCTGTGGTCAGTGATTGTGGGGACATATTAGACCAATCATCAGAGTAAAGAGAAGTCAGTAGCTGTATTTAGATGAAAGTGAAGTTTTGGGGACATCGAAGGTTTTTCTTTTTCTTACTTTATTACTTTATGTGTGTTGCTGTTCTGTCATTGTGAGCTGTCTTGTGAGATGGGAACTGAACTCATTCTACTGGGAGGCCACTAGTGCTCTTGGCTGCTGAGCCATCTTTTGGAACCCGACATTGAAATTTAACAAGTTCTGAAGCCAAACTCTGAGGCTCTGCAACGGCCTCACTAAGCGCGAGAGAATTGAGGAGAGGGATTTCCATCAGCAGGTGCTTCCCAAAGCCTCTAAGCCACAAAGCATAAAGAAATTAAAAATAACAACCAAACACAACGTCATTGGTCTGTGTGCTCCATGCAGCTGAGAAACCACTTTTCTTGTGATGGAGTGACAGGAGCCACACGAGCTACCACACAGATATTCTTACAATATAAGTTTTGTTCTGTAGCCATCCTTGTACAGATAAAACTAAAACCCTCCTGAGAGCTCACATATGGGGAAATGCATCTGACTACTGAAGTCATCTGACCACCTAATTGCCCAAATGATAGTTTCATTGTAAAATGTCAGATTTCAGGAGGATAATCGGATGTGGATTTGTGTACAAGACAGAGTATCATGTGATATTAAGTATATATGATGTGAAATCTAAAGAATTCAAATGGTGAATGGTTATAAGTGATCCTGGGTTTTATTGTTTTTTACATATCCATGTAGGTGCGTTATTTATGCATGCTTGTGAATACAATATATGTTTGTGTGGTGTGTGCTTGTGTTTGAGTATGCACACACATGTGCATGCCCAAAGGCCAGAGGAGAGTGTAGGATATTCTTTCCTCCTTGTTCCTTTGAGGCAGGGTTTCTTTCCAGATAGTCTTTCCAGATAGTCTTTCCAGATAGTCTGGAAACCAGTATGCTTCAGTGACCCTCCTATCTCCTCCCCTCTGAATGTGGTGTTCCAGGGACCACACCTGGCTTGCTACATCCTTCTCATCGGCTGAGCTATCTCTCCAAACCCTGATACTGAGTTTTAAAGTGGCTATAATTAAAGTCATATTGAAAATCTCGAGGATTAAGAAAGACAAGCTTCCCAGTGGTAGACTTCTTTGATATCCAATTCTTTTGCTTTTATAGAGGAAGTTGGAATTGTAGAACAATAGAGTAAAAAATAAACGTTACTCTTGAATGTGGAGAAGTAAAAAAGAGTCTGCACAAACAACAGTGATCAAAAGGAGGGGCTGGAGAGATGGTTTAGTGGTTAAGAGCTCTGGCTGCTCTTCCAGAGGACACAGGTTTGATGCCCAGCATCCACCAGGCAGTTCAAAGCTGTCTGTAACTCTAGGCACAAGGATCCTGATACCCACTTCTAGCTTCTCTTAGAAAAGATTAAGGGAGGTGAGTGATATTTCAAATGTCAAAGTCACAGATACAAAAACAAACAAGCAAATGAACAAAAACAAAAACAGGGGAAAGATGGCCCAGTCAGAGAAAGGAAGGAACACTTTATAGATTAAATCATCACCAATGTATGAACTTCTTCAGGAAGAATTTTTTAAAAATATCCTAAAGATACTTAGTCAGCTACTAGGAACTAATGAGCCAATGGACACCACAGATAAGCAGCTTTAGGAGAACACCCGAGAAGGTGACACCCGAGAAAAACCACCTGCCAGCAAGGATGCAGAAGCCTGCAAAGAAAACCAAACAGATTTGGGGAATAAAAAGCTGCAGTAGTCGAGGTGAAATGTTCACTGGGGGTCAAACTGTGAGTGAAACTGTGAGTGAAACAAACTTCTTTTCCTGAAAGCAGAAGACAGGGACGTTTGTGAAGGCAAACAAGGACAGGAGAGAAGGGGGGGGTGGTGGAGGCTGCTGAGGGTGACAGGCATGGTACATGCATGCAGGAGCGTGTCACAATGAAAACCATTATGCTGCATACGAGACACGCCGCTTTTTAAAATATATATTCTGGTCTTAGTTATTTCATGGTAAGTGCAGCAAATGGATTCACACAGATGACATCTTCAAAGTGGTGAAAATTCATTCCAACCAAAAATATTGCAGCCAGCAATATCATCCTTTAAAAATGAAGAAGAAATTAAGACTTTCCAAACATTCAAGGGCTCATTAGCACTGGGCTGGCTGCACAGGAGACAACCCAGAGGCCTTCCGGTCAAAGAGAAAGGACAGAAAGGAATAAAACACAGTCACACAAAGTTTTCAGCACACACAGCCACACAGGCTTCTCCAATGCTGGCACGTAGATTTTAAGTGACAAACACATAAAAAAGCAGGTACAATTGAACGACAATGTGTATGTTATACTTTAAAATGTCAAACGTAACATCAATAGCAAAGTCTTGGGTGAGTAAAACTGCAACATAATGGGATGTATGTGACTGAAATTAAGCCGATGCCAGTTCAAAGTAAAAGTCTACGTCTTTAAGAAGCTTTATATAGGGATTGACAAGATGGCTCTTGCCTCCAAGTCTGAGTCTACGATGGATGCTGGGACCTAATGGGGAAAAGAGGGAACCAACTCTTGCAAGTTGTTCTCTGACCTCTGCATGTGTACACACACACACACACACACACACACTTTAAATTTAAATAGTAATTTTGAATGATCCATGAAAGAAGCTCTATTATATAATTGCAGTGGTAACAACAAAGCTAATACACACAGTGTTTTAGATATTGTTATATTGCTGTCAAGAGACGCTGTAGTGATTTCAATAAAAATGGCCCCCATAGGCCCATAGGGAGCGGCACTATTAGGAGATGCGGTCTTATTGGAGTAGGTGTAGTTTGTTGGAGAAGGGGCGTCACTAGGGTGTGGGCTTAAGGTCTCAGAAGCTCACGTTTGGCCAGTGTGTCACTGACTTCCTGCTGCCTACAGATCCAGAGGTAGAACTCTCAACTACCTATCTGGCACCATGTCTGCCTTGTGCCACCACGCTCCCTGACATGACTCTAAGGGACTAAACCTCTAAACTGTAAGCAAGCCCCAATTAAATGTTTTCTTTTTTAAGAGTTGCCGTGGTCATGGTGCCTCTTCACAGCAGTATAGCCTTAACTATGACAGACACCATGACTAAGGCATCACATAAAAGAAAGCATTTAACTGGGGCTTACTTACAACTTCAAAGAGTGAGTCCATTTTCATAATGGGCCTGGTGTGAACTTTGGAAACCTCAAACTCTACCCAGTGACACGTCTCCTCCAACAAGGCCACACCTCCTTATCCTTCCTAAACAGTCTACCAACTGAGAACCACATTTAGGTATATGAGCCTGTGGGTACATTCTCATCCCACTACCTCATATAGAGCAGAGACAAAAAAAGAGAGAGAATCAAAGCATAGCACAAAAAACAGATGAAATACAAAAGAAGCCAGTAAGAGAATGAGGGAAGGGAAAAATCATAAGCATTTAGAAATAACAAATAGCCACCTCTCTGTACTCCACTGCCTGAAGCGGTCTCCGTGGGGCTGCAGTCGGAGC